TGTTCCGCGAACTCCTCGCCCTCACTTACCATGCATTTATGCGAACATCGTTGCTCCTCGACACAACCACCACCTGAATTGGGATCGCAATATTGTCAGGAGCCTACGTCCTATCATAAAGCACCGAAGATTCATGAAATCCTGCGCAACCCACAGGATTTTTTCGCACATTTGGAAAAGACCAGCTAGTCTCCACAAATTTAAACGATTTCCTGAAATCTGGGCATGCCTCACTGAGTCCGGCCCTGATTACCATATCTTAACAAGCTGAAAGCCTCGATCCTGGGCACGGAATCGCCACGACCCTCAACCTTGGTTCACGCAGGGCTTACAGCGATGCCTCAAGCTGTCCACAGAACCTTGGGTTAAGCCATTTGTGGCGGGAGGCAAGCATCCAAGGTGTTAAGCCCTTTTTCAAAGGTCTTCCTTGTACAGTGCTTCTCTCTTTTGACCTTTATTTAAAAGTGCGAATGCATGTTGACAGGATTTCTCGTTCCTGTTGGTGCAAGGTTCTAGCGGGTGTGTTGTCAAATCAACCTCAGTTCATACGTTGCCCTGGGACAACTGGGATTTCTGAGGGCTTGGGGATGCACACTTTTCTTGAAGGATGGATCTTTTCAAGGGGTTCATTTTGGAAGGGCTCATTTTGGGGTACAGGGGCCTGGAGTTTGTAAAATGGCCATTCGCGCATAGGGGTCACGTTTGACCTGCAAAGGAGATGTGCAGGACATTGCCCATGGAACGGGAGCCCCAAATCGGCCTTTTTTCTCGTTGCCTCCTGCACCGGAAACGTCTACTGTCGTAGTACTGCAATTGCTCTTTCCTGGTCTAGGCTGCATTGGTAAAACCATCCTTGATGATGCCTGCGGTGGAAGCCTGCAGGTAGGATTCTACTTCGGAATCCAATTCAGAAAATCTAGATTATGTACATGCTCATGCTATCCTCCGCTTAGCTCAGTATCAAAGCTCCCTGCGACTTCCTTCGTTTTAGTTACAACATCCTTCCATCTACATCTCGATGCATGCGTCATGCAAATGCATCAGAAGTCCCTAAAAGGCATGTAGGCCTAGTCACGGAATGAAACTGTGCCCTGAACCTTGAGCCCAATTGAGTTCTTTTGTAGACCTTCAACGCAAAGCCCAAGACTAAGACACAATCTCCTATATAATCCAGTTTTCATATCATTTTCCATTTCTTGTCCATTTGATTCTCCAATTATAAGGGGTAATATCCCTATGTACCCCTTAAAGGAACCTAGGGTTTCCATTTGATTGTCCATTTGATTTTCCATTTTCTTTTCCATTTGATTCTCCATTATTATGGGGCATACTAGCAGTTTAGACCCTAATGATTGCTGAGGAGCAGCTCCTAAAGTCGCTCACTACACACCTCGGAGGCACCAGTGCATGAAAGTCCTATGGGTTTTTGCAGGTTTATTGTCCCCCTTAAGTAGATAGAATATGGGGCATATGGGGATCTTATAATAATATACCCAAAGCCATATTCCATCTACTTAAGGGGGACTATAGGGTTTGGGAGCCAGATGAAATTCGACATAGAGACAAAATAAATGGTTCATGGTCTCAAGATGCAACTTACCCTTTTAACCAATGCTTCCGGATTACCTTAGTTTGCCTTTTGTCTGCAGCGCTTGGTGGAAAATGCCAAATGATGTCACATAATCCATCAGCAGACAGGCCCAATACAGCCTTCACATATTCCCTATGAAAGCAACATGTACTGCAAACCAAGCTATATGATCCTGTTTAGGGCGCTCTTAGGTCCCGAACCCTCATCCCTAACCGCTAAGCCCTTGACAAACCCAAAGCTACAAGCCTCCAAACCCCACAAGATAACCCTATCACATAGTCTCTAGCAACGATCCCTAGAGGTCGCATCTTAATCTATGTGGCTGGCGGCCACAAGGGCTTGTAGGAAGGAATGAGTAACGGAGACGCGACCTTGGATTGGGTCAGCTTTGGCCTCTGCTATGGCGCAAGGATCCATCAAATCCCTTCTTTAGCGCTAGCATCACGCCAGCTCGGCGATAGCACTTGCGCCGTAAGCAGTCCTACAAGAAGTAGCGCTTTGGATATGCCCATTTTTTTGCTTGGACAGGCGGCAGCCCCACACCTAAACGCTTCCCGCTACGGTACGCAATTTGGGTGATTGGCTTTTGACCCATGCATCCCTAACCGTTCCCTGCTTTGAGAGACCTTACAGGTCCCTTTCAGCCCCTTATAACGGGCACGTAGAGGCCACTATTTTCGAAAACTCACGTATATGGGTTGTTCTCAAAATTCTGGGCCCCTTTTCAGGTATATATTATATTACGGCACCTAACATTTAGGGCTACCAAAATGGGACCCTAATTTTGGGAACAATGCGTATACAGCTCAGGCAGCCACCCTGTGGCTGTGGGGCTCCTCCGAAGCGGTGACGTCCTCCTAGGCACCCAGAGGGGCTGCAAGGACTTTTTTTGGTTGCTGCTAAGAAATTCACGTATAAGTTAAGTTACTATACTATATTTGGGAAATCCTGTTAGTTCATATATATGTATACCCACTATTGTAACTTGAATTACGTTCCTTGACAGCAGCCCAATCTTTCGGGTAGTAGGGATAGTGGAAGAGAAGCTGAGAAGCTTCAGACTATTGGGTTTAGGGTTCTTGGCTATTACGCTCATGATGAGGAAATTAATTTGAAAGCAAACGGAAGATGACGTGGAAACTGTCTGGGGACTTATGGGGATAGACAGGGTTTTGGATTTTTGGGTTGAACTTGCCGCTTCTGAGCAGGTAGGGAAGGAATGGGAAGAACATGGAAGATGCAGTGCTTCAGGGCTGAGGAAGGTATGGATGCTCACATGTAGGCTACTATGTAGGGTAAAGAAAATGGACACGATTAGTTATACTGGAGAGCCAATTACAAAATGAAATGGAAGATAGGGTTATATATGGGGTTACAGGAGACTGGACAGCAGAACGGAAGCTAAGCCCTACAACCGAATATTTGGGGTTGAGGGTTTCAGTATGCCCTTCTGGTTGTTAGTATGGCAGATGGAAAACGGAATGGAAACTGGGGCTCTACAGGTATATACGGGGTTTATGATCAGCTTTTTGGTGGTTAGCAGGTAATGAAGGAGCCAACAAGACAATGGATATTACTACGGAGTCTAGAAAAGGAGCTTCGATGGGGATCCATTCGTCCATTCCCTGCTGACAGCCACTAGCTAAGTAAAAGGCCCGAGAAGAGCGGATTCAGGCTTTAGCGCCTATAGTCCTACAGGGTTTCAAGGTAAGTGGCGTGATGGTAAGGCATGCGCAGGTATACCATGGAAATTTCAGTTCAGTCTCACGCGCGCTCAGGCAGAGGTTCTAAATCGTGTTTGTTTTTCGTCCTTGCAGGCCCCTCCGCCCGCAGTTGCCTACAGCCATGTATTATCTTGTATTCAACATGGGGCCCACTAATGACTATTATTTTGGCCAATACCGTCCAGCCTTTAATTAATCTAATTCATAATCCTATTAATCACAAAAATTTTACATCACCTCGGTGGTATTCTTGGAGGATTGCCCTCAAGCGGTACAGCACGGATCCTTGCAGCTTCCTCTGCTTTTGCAACGGTACTTTGGCAACATCAGATTTCCTGTCCTACCCAACGCCCGAAGCCCAAAAACCCCTAAACCGAGAAAGCCTAAAACAACAAGCCCTGTAAACACGAAATCCCAAACCCAAAGCCCAAAGTCCCAAAGTCCCAAACCCAAAGCCCAATATATACCCTATATTAACCTTTTATAATATAGTAGTCTCCATCTTATTTCCGTTATCCCTATAGAACCCCAACATAGATACCAATCTAGAGGCCCGGCTCTGGACCTGGGTCAGCATCGCCTGAGCCCAATGCAGGTCCCGTGCTTGAATTTCTGGAGCCCAAAAGCATGTAGAAAAATAGCCCTGGGGGGTATTTTGATGGGTTGCATATTATCTTACCTACTTTTGGGGCCCAGGATTGGCCCAGATTGTATTCCTCATCCGGTCTCACAGAAACTCCCTGGCCAGGAGAGAGAGTGTGATTACTAGGGTGAATGGTGTGGCTTGGTCTTCTTCCCTGCGGTCCTTCAGTGGACTGAAAGGTCATGCCCTCAAGCTCAACTTAAGCTCAGGAGCATCCATTTTGAAGTATGCTCTTGTGGACTTTGGAGGTTAAGAAGATGCCCAAATTTCCTGAATGGATCCATGCGTGGTGAAAAGTTCTTGTGGTGGCGAATGCCGAGAAATGGGTCATGCAAATGTGTCTTACACAGAGAAGGGATCAGAAAGGTCGTATCTTGCTGGAGGCAACGTAGACGGACCCTTGGTTCGAAACGTCCTCCTTCCTTCTTAGGATCATACTTGAGGCTCTTGTAAACCCTAAACCCTCAAACCTAGAGTTTGTATTTGAATGATCATGATTTCTAGGGTCGTGTTGGGATTCAGGCCCACTGCCTGGCTACTACGTGGCCCAGCTTGCCTGTTGTTGTGGTGCTGCCTAGGCCCTAAACCCTAAGCTCGCAACCCTAGACGCTAAACCCTTGTCTTTTCTTGCTATTCATTTTGACGTGGGGCTGGCAACGTTTATCCTCCTGGTTTGGCATCAGGCTAGTTACAGGTGTGCCATGAATCACGTTTGCGCTCATTGGAAGGATGGTTGTAACCAAAGCTGTGATCTGATTGTGCGAGAACTAGGAATAGTAAATTAACAGAAGCTGGCTACAGTCGTCAGTCACTGTTGACCCAAAATTTTTCTGCTGGGAACAACCACGCCGGCGTCTTCGGCACCGGAACCGTGCACCCGGCTTGCTTGGGGCTTCAATTCCGATGCTCTTGCTTGACATGTGCCATGGACCGGTGATCAGTGAACCATCGCGCAGCACTGCAGCACAACAGCAGTTCGACTTCAAGCAGCAATTTTGCTCAAGAGCCATCAGCGCTGGTTGCTCCCGGCTAACCTTCCGCCATGGATTCCATCTTGCTGTTGCATCCGAAGTGCAGTGCAGCTCTCAGCGTAAGCCTGGTGGCTCTAACGGGCTGCTGCATCGAAACCTTCAAGAAATACTTGATGAGTTGGGTTGACAAGCAGCCATGGAAGTCACGCATGATACCGCTCCAGCGCAACATGATGCACAATTTCGGGTACGGCAAGGCAACCACAACCGACGAACGGGTCGTTGTAGACTTCTACTGCTTCATGATTGCTCTTTGCTCCCACCATCTTGTCATGACGCTGGCGCTGACGCCTGCAGCTCTTTTGGGCTGGGAGTCGTTGGGTTGTGTGGGGCAAGTCTTGTTCTATGCGGGTGCCTTGGGGGATCTGGCCTGCACGGCCTACGACACTCTTCAGACCACCTTGAGAACGATCTTCCCACTCAGCTTCACATGTCTGGGCGTACAACTACCGATGAAGTACTTCATCGTGGTGGTTGGCTTGCATCATACACTCTCCATGATGCTCACTGTGCCAATGATTCTCTACTATCCGTCTATGAGGGCTTTGCACATATTGATGTGGTCACTTCTTTTTGCTGGCGGCACCTGCAATTTGCTGGGCTGCTATAAGTTCACCCTGGACACACAAGGCTCACGCCGGGACTCCTTTCGGTACAAGGCCATCGTGCTGATCCAGTTCGCAACTATCTTATTCACCCGTGTGTACATTTGGGTCTACTATGCTGCCGCGGCAATAGCTAACTTCTACGAACGTGGGGACACCCCATTCATTTTTCTGGGGCTCGCGGGCTGTCTTCTGATGACTTTCTTTAACATGCTCGTTGTGATCGATGCAAGCAAGGCACTAGTCAAGTGGATTCCCAAGCAGATGCCAAAGCCAGCTCATGATGCAAAGCTGGCGTGCCACGAGAGAGAATTAAAGGCGGTGCGCACCGAAGGGCTTCGGAGACTGGAGGGGTTGAAGCTGGCGTGAGCTCTCATCTGGCTTTCTGGGTAGACGCCGCGCTAGTACAATACTCCTGCATACAGCCGTCTCCAAGGTGTCCTCAGTTGTGGTGTCTGACAGAGCTGGCATGTTGTCGAATACGTGTTGCAGGCGAACCGCTGCATGGCCGGCTTTGCCCCCATGCTGCAGTGCTGCTGCTTTGGGAGTAGTCGCTTCCCCCTATAGTCACCCTCCGCCCACTCCCTTACTAATAAATATTCATCCCCCAGCCCGTATACAGGAATACAGGAAACATCATCTATTATCACCTGCCATCATGTGGTGGCGGGGATGCTCTTTGGGGGATGGGCTCAATTTCGCAGCTGGTCTTTTGTTTGCCCCATGCTGCAGACTGATTGCTTCGTGGGAAGCATGAAGCATTTGCCTTTGAGCATCCATGACTCGTGATGGACCTGCCGTGTACAGTGTTACAGTACCCGAGGGTCATGGTCAAAAATCAATCGCAATGGGCTGGGTACTCTACAGTGCGGTTGAATAGCAACAAAGGGGTCCCCAGTTCAACCACGGCTATCATGACTAAAAATTACAATCATAGCTGGAACTGTGATGATTGCTGCTGCTGCTGCTACTGCTACTGCTGCTACGACTACTACGACGACTGCTACGACTATTCTGTTCCTAGTACTAGTACTATGACTATCGTTATGGGCCTCAAGATGTTGAAAAGTCCTATGTGGATTGCAGCCGCGGCCAGTCTTTGCAAGAGATCGCGTTGTGTGGCCCGAAGGCCGATGTGAAAGTTTTGTAGAACCTTTCATTGCTATTGTTATTGCTATAGCAGTATCTAGAAGTACAATTACACCTATTACTATTATTACAAGTATTACTGCCATTACTCTTGTGAACATTATCAAGCCCTGCTACAGGGTCTGTGGTTGTGACACCACAACTATCCTGATTGTTCCGTGTAGCCCTTAGGGTTTAAGGTTAGGGTCTAAGCTTTGAGGGTTTAAGGCTTGAGGCACGCCCGATGACAAAACGCTTACGCACCTGGCAGGTCATCCAGAGCATTGACAGCAACCACCTCGAACAGACAATTTCAGACGCGGATGCGATGCGTCCATTGAAGCCTTCAAGCCGGCGCAGTCAGATGTAAATGGGGGTTTCCCAGAATTAGCGTACCCTGTTTGGGGGTCCCTATAAGAAGGACCAGAGTATTTTGGGGTTTATATTGGGGTCGCCCTATTTGAGAAACTATTAAAATCAGGATGTGATGATGGAAATATGTAGTTTCCATAGTCCTTGCCTTAGGTAACCCCCCCCAAACATTACCGGAGAAAGCCAGGTGCAGCACGGACGGCAGGGAAGCTTCAGGCATAGACTAAGTTAGGATAGAGTAGGCCGAAAGTCAGAAAACATACCGAGCGGTTTCAGGATTTTGGGTATAGGATTTAGGGCTTTGCGTATGGGGAAAGCACCACGACTGCAACACAACATCAACAAGATACATTGAAGATCATGATGCGACCATTTGAAGTTCGTGCTGACCCTCTGTAACTCGTAGCGTAAAGCAACCCCACATATCACTGTCTGGCAAGCAATTGTGTTGATTTCTTTGGTTGCCCATCTTTTGATCCATTCCTGGACTTCATGTTTAACCCAGTGAACCGCTCCTTGTTTTGGCTATTGCTCGCTTTACGTAATCCGTAATTGCACTGCATGGCCGTCCCCTTGTGAAGTCTTACCTTGTTTTCCTCCTGCAAAAAGAGGAAACCATCTCATATCGGTTGCATGCTGCCAGCATCGCTGCTCAAAAGTCCGCATGATGTCAAAGACTTGTTCAGGACGAAGCCGGCTTGCTTGCTCGCGCCAATTTCTTGGACATGAGACTTTGTTCCGTTGCTTTTCTCCCAGTTTTGCAGTCCATTGGAAGGTCCAGCCAACACTGCATGCCGCCCTTTTGAATTTAATTGTATATAAAAAAGGTTGACTACAGACATCAGCAAAGCCAAATGGAGCCATCTTTGGGCGGCACACGTTACCCCGCGCGTTTGTAAGAGCTTTTCAATCCCGCACGGCCATAAAAACACATCATCAACAATAGTTGCCTATCGCTAGGGCTCCAAATGGCCCAACGTAGTACTATGTATAGACGTTGGGGCCGGATGTAGGCATTATTTATAGACATGGAGCCCCAGAGTATGAGCAATTAGTTCAGTTCCACTGCCGACATCCAGCAACACAACAGTCCGCCGACTGCAATCAAGCATCATGTGCCCATTGAACACCAAACTCGAACATAACTCACCTGGTTCAAGGCCCGTCTCAAGTTCCCTTCCGCGTCACGTTTAATCTCTTTAGGTGCGGCGCATCATGTTTATCTTTGTGTATATGCCGGCTTCCCTCTCCAGAGCAGCATTTTCTGCGCCAACTCCAACACACCAAGAAGTTGCAGAGTTCAAGGTTTTGGGTTACTTGTTTGTGTAGAATGTTCACGGTTTAAGGTTTAGGGTTCAAGTTTTAAGGTTTAGGAGTGATCTCCTTTTCCGGTGCTTGCTGCATTCCTGTAGCGTCATACGGCATGCGCACCCATAGGCTAAGAAAACCGGTCCCTGTTAACTTCGAGGGAGAACAGAGTGGGAATAACATGAGAACAGAGGAAAGATTAAGTGAGAAGAACATGGGCATAAATTGAGAATGAAGAGGAACAAGGTGAGAATATTGAATAGGCTAAGGGGATCCCCGCCATTCTCATTTTACTCTCAGTTCATGTTTACCTTTTTTTTATAATCACCTGATGCTCATCTTCTCACTTGTTTATTTCCTTAAGTTCTTTTTCTTACCACCTTGCCCTGTGCTTTCAAGGATTTCGGCCTCCAACCACGTCCGAGCCTATCCCAAGATTACCGTCTCGCGATCAAGAAGGATTTGAGAAACAAGTGAAGACATGCGAGGATAATAAAGGGAGAACAGAACCCCATGGATGGAGGAGGAGGGAATACACTTTTTCCTCACCAGGTTCTCCTTCTGCACTTACTGCGTACTTTGTCATACCTTACTCTCACTCCTCTCATGTTTCTGGGCTGTGGCATCTTCCCATTCTCATTTTTTTTCCGCTTTGTTGTTGCCTTTTTTCCACTTTGTTCTCAGACCACAAATTTTAGGATTTGCTAGACCTGATTAACAGGACTTTGGATTTCTCACCATAGAAATTAGGCTCTCGAATTAACCATGGCTTTCTTTAAGGCATCTATAGCCGTCGCATAAACGCCTAGCAGATGTGCAGCAGACTGTTCGTCTCCTGGCTCCGTCCACGTGACTGACAGGATACATATTTGCGATCTTGTAAGATGTGTCTGGTGGAAGTCGTGTCGGATTCCGCGGAGGGCCTGAAGTTCCGAACCACATCGCTTGACTCAGCAACAAGCATTCCTATGCCTTAACCTTTCAAGGCATGTAGATTGTGTAAGCAGCTCATACAGGGAGCCACTAGGTGATGAATTTCCTGGCTTTCATTATCTCCAGCGCAGTTGCCCCAAACCCCAAGCCCTACCCTTCGGTGCTTTCTGTCTAGTTCCGAGCAGTTTTGCGAGGTTCTGGTTGCCAACGCCCTCCTTAGCGGAGAGGCGGCAACCTTCGGGCATGGGGTAGGGTGGGGGTAAGTGCAGGGGACTCAAGAAGTCTTGATTGTATCCCGGTAGTATCTGTAAACAACTGCAGGCCAGAAATCCTGATGCCTGCTACTATTCTTGTTCCATCTGTAAAAACGCATCAAGCACAGAGTCCCAATAGCATTTTTTTGGGCCCCACTGTATTTTGCCATGGGGCTTTAACCCCAGGTCTTACCTAGGCTTTGTTTATGGAATCACATCAAGCTTGTACGTGGTACTTGTAGAATGTTGAGCGCTATGGAGTGCCAATGGTAGCGACTAAAGCCTGGCTCAGAGTTCAGAGGCCTTGGCAGCATATATGTTAAGCCTGGTTACCTGGCACTGGAACCGCTTGTGGAGTCTGTGCGTGTCTTTGGACTGCACATCGGCTGGAATGGGTTGTAGGGGAGCCTCAATCCTTTCTATCTGCCTTGGCCTCAAGATCAAACAGCGAGGTGTACTTGGAGGGATTTGCCAGTTTTGGTGGCTTAGAAGGTCGTACCTCGAGTATTCATTTCAATACCCAGTCATTTTGCTATGTTTTGCATGACGAAGCTTGGGGATGTGATGTTCTTGTTTCGTGGGAAGGTGTTTCCGCCGGGGCAACCCGACGTGCACCGGTTTAGTGAGGGATGCGCCAGCCCTTTGGTTGTGATTAGGGTTTAGGTTTTAGGGCTTTCATGGGCGGCTTGCCAGAGTAGTTTAAGAAGTGATAGGAGAGCAGCAAGCTTGCATAAAAAAGCAGCCTTTGCCGCCATCCCAGTCTTTCTTGTTGGAATTGTGATTGTTCCTGCTATCATGACTCTGACTGGTTATGTCTCCAAAGCAGGATGCCCATACACCCACCCCCTTTGACCAAACAAACAAGAGCCTGTAGCCATTCACACATTGGAGTCGCGGGCCAGGTACTAAACTTGAACTCCAAGCCCGAAGCCCTAAGCTAGAATAAGTCAACGCATTGACCCGTAAACTGCCGTAAACCCTTAGCAACCAAAAGACACAACTCCAAAACCCAAATTCAAATCCAAGCCCCAAAAGAACCCTATACACCCCCACATAGCCCTGCATATGTATACATCTTTATAGCCCTGTATATGTATACATCTCTATATATATATATGTATACGTTACATACATATTCCCTATATACCCTGACAAACACCCTAGAACCCTAAACCCCAACCCACAAAGACAGCCCTCCCTTGAGGACTTTGAAGCCCTGGGCTGCCGCGAGCTACCCCGGGGCGGTGCTGTGGACCTGCTACTGAGCCGGAATCCCCCTGGCAGATACGTGAGCAATAGTCTAAACGGGGGTTTCCCAAAATTAGCGGTACTTTTTTTGGTGATCCCCATAATAAGGATTGTACTATTTTGGTC